AGATGAACGCAAAATTACCGCCTAATACTGGGGATATTAATGTGCGCAGAGCACAGGTCAGTCTTGAAAAAAGGGGTTTTGCGTAAAATTATAAAGATGACCATGTATTGCAAAGAAACGTTTAAAAACCACTGTTCTTCATATATTCGTCAAATTTGGTGGGATTGTACTATTCGGTATCTTATACATTTTTTCTGACTTGACAGACGGAAGCGTTGCGCAAAAAGTTTATGGAAGCCATAACAAATTACCAACAAGTAGAATTCCAAAATCGACAGAAATACAGACAGAGATTAGAACGACAGTATAAAATCGGTATGAGAATGCACATTCCACTTGACCCCATATATCGAAAAAATTTTTTTAATATTTCGAAACTAACAAAATTTTCGTTTACAAAACTTTTAGTCAAACCTGGCGCAACACAAGAGGAAATTGATGCGGCATTGGACAACGAAGAGGGAACACAGGTCTTTGCTCAATCGGTAGCTATTTGTTCGCATTACTCCTGATATCCTGTCATTTCCCCAAAGTTCTATATTAAAAAATTGCCGTTTTTCACATATACAGTTAATGCAATCAACAAGATATGGTGCAGCTCGAGAAGCGTTAAAGGAAGTACAACAACGTCATGATGATATAAAGAAAATTGAAAAGACTATTGAGGTGAGAATTTCATCCATATAAGGGCGACTTGTTGTAGCATGTTAGAAGATATGGCTATACATGAATTTACTGCAATTTGCGCGCGTTCGTGCTTGAACTCAATACCGTTTTCTGTTATTAGGAATTGGCAAATCTGTTTGAGGAAATGCAACTGATGGTCGAGGTACAGGATACCCAAATAGACCAGATTGAACAACATGCAAACGATGTTGAACAAAACCTCAGTTCGGGTGTGGATAATGTGGGAAAAGCTCTCGAACATGCCAAGTCAGCAAGAAGGGTAAGCTGTTAATTGAAATTTGAGTCATTACCAGTTGACAAACAAAAAAATTTATATTTTATTAATTTCCGTTTCTTTTTTGTAGAAAAAATGGTACTGTTTCCTCATCCTAATCATTATCTTGGCAATTCTTGCGGGTTTGGTGTACTACTTTGTTATCAGACCAAACCAGGGAGGTGGCAAGAGTGGTGGTAATAGTGGTAATAGTGGTAATAGTGGTAATAGTGGCAATGGTCAGTAATAGCAGCAATGGTGGCAGTAGAAGACTAAATTTAGCGAATCTTGAGAAATGTTCCACCACGGACTTTATTTATTTCACTTTTTCTCTCATTCTATCTATTTACTTGATGGGGATGTATATTATGTAGTTTAACAATTTCTTAACTACCGTTGCTGTCATACTTCTCTCTTTATTTCACACTTTCCCCCCCATATCATCTCTTCTTCGTCTTGCTCACATTCTTTTTCCAATATCTCACTGGGTCAAGCTTCCTTTCTACATTAATTTTCTAATATCCTAGTATCTAAATGTCACATCTGTAACAGAAAGAATCAATCGAAAAAAACAAAACAAACATGGGCGGTTATGCAGAGCGAGTATAGACATAAACCATACGCATAATTAATTTCCACTACTAAAAACAAATAAATAGATCACCGACTAAAAGTTTACGGTTATTAGACAAGAAATCTTTATGCAACACTATCGGATAATTGGAGAGAATGCAATGGGAAAAAGTGTTATTATTATTATCACTCTCCCAGCTCACGGTTCGACGAGTTGGGTCATTGAAAGCGTATAGCAGGTTCTCATAGACTAAACAAACACTTCCCTCTAATTATTAAACACGATTAAATTAACATTAAAATAATTGTAACGATTAACATTATTTAATTGTTTCTTCATGACTGAGAATATCAACAAGAATTTTTTTTAATCAACTTTCGCCAACCCACTATATTCGATTTTGCAGTTCCAAGTGTCCCTTGTTACTCCCAATCATGCACACGGTCCACCGGCTTTAATCTATCGTGTGATAATCTTCGAGTGATGATGGCGATTGTGATGGCGGTCGTGATGGCGGTAGTGGTATTAATTCTGGATGTGATTGTGATTGTGAACGCGAATGTGAATTTGATTGTGATTCGAGTCGAGACTTTAGTTGCCGGATTTCTTCATCTTTGGCATCTAGCGCACGGAGAAGATGAGAGATACGGTAGTGAAGTTTAGACACGTCCTCAGACACGTACAAAGAAAATGATGATGGTTTTGGCGAAGGTTTTGGTGAAATGGGCTTGGCATTTATGCCTACAAGATCAGCAAAAGTCAGTAAAAGTGTTCAAGTAATAAATCAAGGGTCGAAAAAGTTTAAGCAGACAGCCAAAACGCATGTTGTATTCAATGGCTATATGCGACCATGGTGTGGGCTTACATACAATGACACCGCTCTTTGAAAGAAATTTACACATGTATGCTAGTTCTCACACGCTATATTCGCAACCAAATGTGTTTACCTGCTATGATCTCATGCAACTCTTCGATCTGATCCCGTAGGCCAGCTATGGTAGCGTCTAA